ATGTCGCCACCTACTATCACCTATCATCTTCCTGATTGTAGTCAACTCAACTGGACTGGATCATGTAACAAACCGTAACGAGCGACAAGATGAACATACCACTAACTGCACCGATGAAAATACCCCGCAAGAAGATTTGGATTTCCCACATCATCATTGATGTCTAACATCTTGGCGCACAAACTCGAAGATCTACAGGCGAAAATCAACAAGCTGATAGAAGAGGCGAGGCAACACACGAACACCGCAATTCCATCAGATGAACAGAGAGAAAACTCACATGATGAACATTCCTAACCAACAACAACAAGCACCAATCACCATCAACGACAGAAATCTAAACGAAGTTATCTCTTTCGCCTACCTACCTACCTATCTAGGCTGCATCCTGTCAACTACACACGCGGCACAGACGAGAACGTCAAAGCAAGGATCAGAAAGACATCAAGGCACGACAAGCCTTCCTTCCTTCATTAATTTGAAATCAGTGTCGACATCTACTGCACTCCACTCAACTCAGCATAAATAGCAACACTAATCTTAGGTCAGTGCTTTTAAATGGTTCAGAGACTTGGTGCGTCACGAAAAGCATTTCCAACAAACTACACACATACATCATCAACAACTGCCACCTACGCTCACTCCATACTGAAGATCACATGGATGACCAGAAAGAATAAGCAACAACGAACTCTGACTGACTGACTGGTAATGAACCAACCAAAAAAAATCCATCGCCAAACAAATATCCGGAAAAAATGGAGATCGATTGGATTGGGCATACACTGAGAAGACCATTCGGGAACATCTTGCTTCAGGCCAGGCCGTCGAGTGGAACCCAGATGGGAAACGACGAGTTGGGCGTCCCATCTGTGGGTGGCATGGAGGAGATCGTATGAAGAAGAAATGAAGGCTTATGGGCAATCGTGGAGTCAGGTTAGAAAAACTGTAGGGAAGAGAGTGAAGTGGTGACGTGTTACTGATGCCTTACTCAAAGGACGGATAAAAGTAATAATAATGGTGATAATAATAACGTTGAAACTGGAAAATACCATGCTTGAAAATCAGCTTTAGTTGTTTTTCAAGCTTCATGCTCACACACTGTTAAATACGATGCTTATTTTCATTTCGGGAACAGTTATCGACAAGTAGTAAGTGGTTCAATATTTATTATTTGTCAGTAGTCATTACTAATAAACAACACTTAGACGGCTCCAGTGAAAATTAAGTTCAAATATATTTCTTGTAATAGTTGAAATTTAAACGAATCTTATAGTATGAAAGAAGTATTCAGCAAGAAAAATAACCAGGTTGAATAATTTTAGTGCTTATTGGTGACTTGCTTCAGGATATGATTTTCTGAAGTTCTAATGAGAAGTTATGACCGGCGGGATGAAACAAGTCAGACATGAGGACAGTTACTTAACGACGCCATTGGATGTAGATCGTGCTATATCGCAAACAGATAGAAGTGAGAAATATGGACTATACGATTCTACATCAGTGCCTCAATTGTAATCTATTGGCCACGGGACTTAAAGGTGATGAGTACGCAATGATAAAGGACTCTCAAACTCGCTGTCTAATGCTCCCAGGTTTTGAATTTTTCTTCAACTGATGTGATTCCATGATGAATACTAGCCTGATATAAATAAATAAATCCCCACAAACCTCAAAGTTGTAATAAATTCATACTTCCTAGTTGAAATTAACTTAAGCTTTATTGTTACATTTTCATTTGTTGGTTTTAAAAAGTAATCTACACTTTCCTGAATTTATTACGAGAAGATTTACCAATAATACAAAATTAAATCATTCATATGTTTAGAATGTGCAAAACATTCATTTGCAATTCAAAATAGTCGTAAACCTGAGCTTTATAAACACCCTGTATAATAGCCAATAGTTTATATCACGACAAGTAATAATAATAAAAAGACTACATGAAGAAACAATTTTAATTTTAACTACTGTTAAAGTGCAAAGTGCATACAGTGAGGAGACCATTTGGGGGCAACACGCGCTAAGCCAGGCCGCCGAGTGGAAATCAAATGGGAAACGACGAGTTAAGCGTCGGAGGGTCATCATCATCATCATCAATATCTACATAGGACCAGACATTACTGCGTAACCGTCCGAGTTGACACACTTCATATCACTACATCAAGTAAAAAGGCAGTGAAGTGGGAGATGAAGATAAGGATATTCCGTCAAAAGAAATACAAAGTAATAAAAGAAAGAAAGGAAGAATGAGAAAATGGTGAGATTCTGTATAGTGTCGTTAAGATGAGGATAATGTGTGTACACATCTGCACAAATGACATCGGTCATGAACCATATCACCTAGAGTCTCCGACCACTGGGTTCTCTTGTCCCACGGACTCCAACTACCCAGTCTGCATCATCTTACATGGCTCAAACCAACAGTCAGATACTTCATAAATTGGTGCCATGTTTTAGTCTGGCCACCTCGGGCCTTTTTCCAGCCTGGACCTACTTCAGCCGAAATTGTGTGACGAGGCAGACGGCAACTAGGCATACGTAACACATGTCGGAGCAAACCATCTCAGTCGATGAAGGTTCACAACCACATCAACTGATTTACCTCTTCTCCATAAAACTCTATACCTGACTTTTGCGTTACTCACGTGGTGATACCATAGAATACCAAAGGTGCCGTAAGTTGGCAAAAGCCAACCGAACCTTTTCTAATCGTGCAGAGATTTCATCGGCCACTGACCAAAGAATCAGGGCTGATCCTACTTCCCAGGTAAGTAAAGTGGTCGACAAACTCGACCACTACACTCTCTATTGCTAGCCGCGGTAGGGCACCGTTGAGCAACAAATACTAAACAAACCTTTGATGTTTTCGTTGTTCAGCAACACTCGCAGTAGTTTTGTTGCCAAATTTTTCTTACACCCATTTAGACGCAAAGATATACGCATTCGGAGCAACGCGTGGTAGCTATCCAAACACGTACTCCAGAGGGAACGGCAGTCTTCCACCGATCCTCTCCAGCGATGACTAGTGGCAATATGGTCTATCTGTTCCCATCGCTCAGTTAAGGTCGGTGGACGTCACGTCAGACAGTATTTTTCTTCGTGTCTGTAATTTGAGCTGACTAAAAATAGGCGGTTATCTGATCATAGTTTTATTAGGCGATCACCGTTATTTGTGCGTTCGGCCGGGACTCCGAAAGTGCCATCTAAGTGTCTTTCTGCCTCTCTCAGTCTACTCACCTGTGCATTGAAGCCACCAGCAAAAACCACCATGTCCGAGAAGTTGCCTTTCGAGAAAAGGCTAGATAGTTTACGGTAGGACTTGTCGGACGGTGACATGGAGATCGTATGAGGAAGAAATGAGAGCTTGTGAGCAATCGTGGAGCCAGGTTGAGAAGACTGCAGAGAAAAGAGTGAAATGGCAACGTGCTACTGAAGCCCTGTGTTCCACCAGGAACCCAAATGACAAATAATAATAATTAAATCTGTCAAAGCACACAAGTTGAAACAGGCGCCTTAGATTCACGTCTAGCCACAAATCAAACTGACAGAATCATAAAATCATGCAGTTGGAAGTCAGTGTACAAAAGGTTATGTAGTTGAGAATTAGACCCTTCATAAAGTAAAGAACATGATATTCCAGTGACACTGTGTAACACTTCAGGTTATCACACTTCACATCAGTACATCAAGATACAAAACAGCAAGATAAAAAGAAAAGTGGAAATGATGTAGTAGAAGTCACCAAAAGCCAGAAGACAAAAAGAAGAAGATTCAAAACAAGCAAATGAAATGTGATATTTCATGGGAAATGATAATGTGTGGAAGCATCTGCTCCACCAGCATATTCACCTACAGTCTCCGACCTGGCAATGAAAGCCTCTATAAGTCGATAGTATGCAGTAAAAGCAAACTCTCTTTGATAGTTCTGGTCATATCAAATAATTTTTGACACTTTCTTAGTGTAATGCAGAAGTAAAATGCAATAATCGATATGATTCCAAAGGTTTTTAAGCCAATCCAACTACTAGAAGTTTAATAAATGATGAACATTTTTCCTTGAAATCTTAAAAATAATGGCTGGTAGTTATTCAAAGTATGGGCATATTGAATTGTTGGTACCTAGCAGAAGAATCCAGGATGCGTAGTTCCTCCTGATTAGGACTTGTCAGATGGATGTACCTGCACTCCAGTGAGTGTTGGTGCCCCCACTGCAATTCGAACCCAGTACACATCGCTTCGAACGAAAAAGCTTTATCTACTAGGTGATTGGAGCAACAGAGGTTGAGCAATTCGAACATATATAGAAACGGGAAATTACAACTATCAAACAATATTAAGAACTTGTTCAGTGTTTTAATAAACCAGTAAGACTGCACTACTTCAATATCACGTTTTTAGTGAGATTTTGGGAGGTGATTGAAGATAAAATGAATATACGGATCGGGAAAGAATTAGAACAAACCATCCTACGGTTCACCAACTAGATCCTTTATCAACAGAGCTTTGAAATTCAGATAATGACCTGGTTTTCATTTCACTTTCAATAATCATCGAGATCTGGGTAGCCAGGTAGTATCATCAGCCTACAATCAATAGGTGTGACTCGTTGTATAGAGCTACGATAGTTAGTCTTTTGATTCAATTTGGGAATTGGTTCATTTCAAGATGGTATTCACCATGAACCAACATCAGGATAGAACTCAAGACCTTTAAGTTTCAAGGCGAACACGCTACGACCCATCCAGTCGATGGATCGGGACCTAATGGCCCACATTTTCCTACTTGGGATATTGTGCATAATGTGAAGGCTAATGATATCTCACTCGACTAGTCCACATCACTACCGTAGGTAGCACAATTTTCGAACACGTGGACCACCGGCTGAAAGTTAACTTTCACAATTTCATTGATACCATATCAATATATATATATATATATATATATATATATATATATATATATATATATATTTACTGGACAAGAAAACAATAACATACATAGTTGTTTATCATTAAGATAATCCACACAACGATTGTTATCCATAGGTCGGTCAGGAGGACGATTACACAGCTGTCCTTCATTCGATACCGTTGACTATAAAAATAGAGTAAAAAGAAATCAAACGAAATGAAGTATTTTTAACTAGGAAATATAATATATGAAATCGTTTGCTGAAACATTACGTCATAAAGAGATATAGACCTAAAGTGTTGTATCTTACGACATTTTAGTTCTATCGGTTGAATAACGTTAAAGACGAGCAATAAGCGAATTTAATCATCATAGGTTTAAAGATATATGTAAAAAGTGAAAATGAAACACAAATGTTGTTTATTCCTTAGCTGTATGATCCTTTCTACTCACATTGGAATAAGAGGCTAAGGATGAAAGAACTAGGCGTTCCTCTGAGCAATGTATAGAAATTGATGGAGGATAGCGGCTATCAGTGGAATCCATGATGCGTATTTCATCTTAGTTGGGACTTGTCAGCTAGATGTACTTGCCTCCCACTGAGTGATGTTGTTACCACTGGGGTTCGAACTCTGCACCGATCACTTCAAACGCCAAAGCGTTGTCCACTAGACCACAGAGCCACGATAGCCACTTCTTGGGCGATAGGTATAGTTTCAGTGTTACTGCTTGTATTATCCCATCGTTGATTGGACTGAATTGATCGGTGTGTATTGGTATATGGGCTCTTGTGCGAAAGCCTCGATATTGCTTGTGTTTTAGTTATATATTAGTGATGAACATGTACAGAAATATTGATGATTTCAAGGTTGGTGTTTATGCGACAACCAAAATCAGGAGTTAGAGACTTTAATCGGTGTGATATAACGTTGATCAAGACGGCGAAGATGCCTGTATGCATTACTGTCACCTTCAAGGAAATATCACATCTCATTTTCACGCCTTGAGTTTTCTCATAATTATTGTCTCTCGTCTTCCAGCAACTTCTGCTACATCATTTCCAATTCCTTTTTCCCCCCTCATCTTGATGTGGTGATGTGAGGTATGGTAGCCCGGAGTGTTAAACAGTGATATCAGGTTTTGTTTTTTCCTGACTGACAATGTACGACTGAACGCTGAAACTGGATATTAATGAAGTGTCGTTGAGAATTCCAAAAACACCTCAAAGGGTTACAATCATACCTTTTCATTGTTAGAAAAAGATGGTGTGACTAACTAATTTCGATATTCGCTAAATTTAGAGTAGATAACACTCTTGAAACATTCATAAGGGGGGTGAGAGGCGGTGGTTTATCCTGGCACTAGTATGGACAAGAGATGTATGACAGAATTTCGGAAAGAATACGCCAATATAGGTCATCATGTTGTCACCACTAGAAAGTTAGTCTGTCTGAGCAAGATCCAGAAACCCAAACACCTCGATAACGGCATTACTACTCAACCCCTATGTGACCTGATCCTCTTGAGTTGAAAAGTGCAGGCGTCTCTTGTTTTAGTCAGGGATATATATGAGTGTCTCACAATAAACTTCAACACCGAGTATTTTTAGGGTTCGACAACGTGAGTATTTCAGTATGGTGGTATTTGTTAATCACTGGCTGATGTCATTTTCAAATACCAGTTTAAGTGACTTAGAAACATCTTATGCAATATCGTCTGCTTTCAAGTCGTTAATTGCTCGCTAACTTGGTTGCATGAGGTGGGGATACGGTCCAGTTTACAAAGTGAAGCCATTGTAGGATGGATAAAGAAAGGCTTCATGTTGATAATTCATGTTGTTCATTTTTAAGCGCTGATCGAGCTCTACTGAGTATTCTGTAATGTGACCAATTAATCAAGATCAGCTGCGCAGCGGTCCAAGTTGCCACAACTCATATCAGCACACAAGTAACAAGGCAATAAAATGAAAGACGAAGAAGGAAAGTAAAACCGGTCAGAGGACATAGATGTAGAAGTAGGAAGAAGTAAAAGAGAGGAAGGAAGAATGAGATGATGAGGTTAAGTATAGCGGACAATGTGTGTATGCACCTGCGACACTGACATCGATTCTGAGTTATGTGACCACCTAGAATCCGCAACCACTGGTTTCGCTTGTGTCGTGGACTCCAACTGGCTATTCTACACCGCCCTTCATGGCTCAAACAAACAGTTAAGGACTTCATACATTGGTACCCTGTTTTAGTCTGGCCGCCGCGAGCGTTTTTCCAGCCTACACCTACTCCGGCCAACATTGTGTGACGAGGCAATCGGCCACAAGGCATTTGTAACACATGTCTCAACCATCTCATTCGATGACGGTTCACAACCGCATCAACTGACCTACCTCCCTTCCCCAGGACTCTTCGTCTGACTTCTGTGTTACTCACGTAGTGACACCACAAAACATGGCCTACGCTACGAAGGCAGTGGTGGTCAAACACCTAAAGCCTTCTCGTGTCTTCTACCTTTATCGCCCATGTTTCACACCGATATAGTAGGACAGAGCGTATTGCGGCACAGTACACGCAACCTTTTGTAAACAATCAGATATCGCAGCGGCACCGCAGGTGGTGTAAGTTGACAAAATCCAGCCGAACCTTTTGTATAGATGCAGAGATTTCGTCAACCACTGACCAACGCACCACGACTGATCCGACTTCTCAGGTAAGTGAAGTGTTCAAAGCGCTCAATCACTTCACTCTCTATTGTTAGTCGGGGTACCAATCCAAAAGACTCAGCACCACAGTGCACTTCGATTGATGTTAAATGGTTGAAAAAAATCGATAGGATGCATTGAACGATAGTTGGAGCGTTTTGTCAACTACCTGCAACCATCCAAGATCAAATTAGAATATTAATTCATCAGATAATAAGACGGAAAAGGATGTTTCTTTGTCTCTATCTTTGTTCCGTACCATAATGTCTAAAGTTTCCTATTATCGCTTCCTAGTCCCTTTCAGATCACAGCCTTAGAATCCGTAATGATGCCAATCTTCACAGTGCAGGTGAAATCAAAAAATTTCATTGGGACTGTGTTAAATTGATGATATGATCAGGAAATGTAGGATTATATATTTAAAAAGTTTATCTCTTAAGAACAGTAGAATAATGAATATAGATTTAATCTTATTCTCTTTAAACGAATTTTAACGCACCATTAGATATACAAAGATGTACAACCTACCTGGACACCACCACCACTACAACCATCATAACCAATCCCATCTGAAGTGCTGATATGAAAGGCATTTGAATTTTTTACTTCTTTATTATTCCTGTTTATCACAGGATTATCACCGTTTGAATTATTTTCAATTTGTTTATAGCCGTTACAGTTACCAAAATCATCAACTGTCGCATGTGTAGTATCAATACCGTGAAACTGATTTCTAACCTTATGATCATGAATCTTTTCATCATTGAAATCGAGAACATTTAACGCACCACTTACCTGAAAGAAACAGAAGATAATAATTAGTAATATTTTCATTGTAGTGGCTGAGATAACTTAAGATATTAAGTGTATATTTTCATATTTAACAGATGCCATCCCAATAGCCAGTAGTGAAATGGTACAGAAAAACAACAACGATGGAAATCAAATTTGTCTAACTGTGACGGGTCTTTTTTATTCATCTTGAATTCAGCTATCTTACTCTCAGTAAACAAGAAGTTCAGGTTAGCATTCGCCTGGTAGGCACCTTACTAACAGAAGTAGTAGTAGATAGTTTTCCGTCTAAAACTATCCAAAATAAGACATTTTAAAATAATCCACGACCAATAATGAAATTCGAAACTATACATAAAGCTTATTATTTATAATTTGTCCTTTGGATTCCTAGTAGAACGTAGTGTGCTTCAATAACGCGTCGCCATTTCACTCTCTTCTATACAGTCATTTCAACCTGGCTCCACGACTCCTCATAAACTTTCATTTCTTCCTCACACGATCTCCTTCCATGTCAACCTCGAATGCCCAACTCGTTGTTTCCTCCTTCGCTTCCACTCGACGGCCTGGCATGGCAGTTGATGTTCCCTAATGGTCTTCTCAGTGTATGTCCAATCCAATCGATCTCCATTTTTTCCGGATATTTGTTTAGCGATGGATTTTTTCTTGGTTGGTTCATTACCAGTCAGTCAGTCAGAGTTCGTTGTTGCTTATTCTTTCTGGTCATCTATCTGATCTTCAGTATGGAGTGAGCGTAGGTGGCAGCTGTTGATGTTTGTCTATAGTCTGTTGGAAATACTTTTCGTCAAGCACCAAGTTTCTGAACCATATAGAAGCACTGACTTGACATAAGACAAACTAAAGTTACGAAATTCCTATTGATGTTCAACCGGTTCTCTTTGTACATAAAAAGTTAGCCTGAAGACTGAGAAATGATTATAAGCGCAGGCAGTTAGATTCAATACATGAATCAATTACTCTGAGTTACTTGTTTATACCCACTTATTGTTGCCAACTTCTTTTTCAAAGTAGTTATTTATTTATACATTTCAAATGTAGGATATGCTTCCTGTGCAACTGAAGGTAAAATAATGGTGCATCAAAAATTGAAAATGACATTAATGTAAATCTGATATAAGGTGTATATAGTTTCAATCACAATTTTCAACCGAAAGAATGAAAGAAGCTACTTCGTTAAGTTAGTATATGAAGCTATTCAAACAACTGGAGGTTGAATAAGTCATTTAGCCTATGTGCATTACATCAACTAAATTTTATTTCATGAGTTGAAACGTTCACTTTTTGTCACACCATTGTAAAATTGAGTTAGAATACAGTAAAACTAAATACGACCGACTACTATGGTGCGTTGTGATGAAGATATGAAACGACCAACTATATAAACAGCGAGATTAATGAATTGTGTCTGGAAAGCAATAAACATTCTATGCGACCCAATGACTCAATGGTAACGTGCTGGCCACGGGACCTGAAGGTCGCGGGTGTGCACTGCTGAGTCCCATACTAGGACGAAACAGCTGTCCAGTGCTCCCAAGTTTCCTTTGTTCCTCCAATTGATATCAACCTACGATGAATAACAACTTGAAATATTCTATGCGAAAATCAAGATGACATATTAATGATGGATAGTGGCTAACAGTGGAACGCACGTTTCATCCCATTGAGGACTCATCAGGTGGATGTAATTGCCTTCCCAATTAGCGATGTTGTTCCAACTAAGATTCAAACCTGGAACTGATCGCTTTGAACGTCAGGGAATCATCCACTAGCCTATCGAGTCACAATATGCACTTTTTGCACGATTCCATTGCTAGCCAATATCCATGATTATTATAAAACTGAAACACAGGTAATATCGAGGCATCTACGCAGGAGCCCATATCCCAATAGAAATCGATCAATTTGTGTCCAATCAGGATGTGATAATACAAGTAACAACATTGTCAAGATGACAGTTAACTCCGTTACTTTAGAGATTCTGTGGCAGATTTTGACAATGGTAACAGTAGTTAACACATATATAAATGTTACACTACTGAAGGCTTAATACCCGAACATTTATACTGTGTAGGAGGCGAGAGTAAGTTAACATGTGAGAAAGTTACAGTGATTGGTCTGTTATGCATAGTCAACCTTTCCACTTACTTCAGATTTTGTCACACATGCATTATTTCAGAAAGTAATCACATCTGATTTCATAAATGTCAATCTTTCTGACAGCACAGTAATTCATACTATGAAAATGGTAGTCACACTGAGTGTAGATACTGTTGAAACACACAGCTTTCTGAGGCATTTTCACTCCATATATATACTCCTTTAGAATTATGAATACCTTTTATTCTCAGTCATTTCTTACTACTAAACTCCTTTTTCATTATTTACCTTTTTTTTATCATGAAGATTCTTTTAAGAAAGAGACTCATTGTTTTATTCCTGTAATCAGTCTTGTATATCACGCGAATCGTCATTATCATCACATATTTCTTGATAAATAGAAAGATTTTCACTTTTTATTTTATGTACCTCTTCAATAGCAAATATTTTAACCATACAGAAACAAACACACGCTTACTTACAGAGGTATGCAGATTTCAGATGGACTAGGTCAAATACTATTTTGGCACCGACTATTTTTTAATTATTTGTGATAAGCAGACAATTTTATACTATTGATTTTTTCGAAGCAATATAAGTGGAATTCTTGGATTTCTGTGTTAGACGTTAAGAATTATTCATTCGGGTGACGTGCTTGACCTAAACACATTTTGTACGTTTTCCCAGTTGTTTGAAAAGTATATAGGTGACCTTGAGAGAAACAATATTTACATGACGATTACAATCTTCTAGATGAACAGCCAAATTAATGAAGAACCTAGGAAAGTGTGTTGGTTCCATCTTACAAATTTTACAGCAGGAAAGAGTGATTTCAAGGAAGACAAAAGAGTATGGAAGGAGAAACAGATGGAACTAAACAAAATAATCAAGAATTCGAAGACGATAGATTTTCAGAGTTTCCATAAATCGATTTCATTTGTCTCAAGAACTATAGTCAAGCAGTGCACACACATCCCTTCATGGATCAGACTAACAACCAATCTAATCTACTGGTATCAAGTCTTGGTCTGATCACTCTGGGCAGTAGTGTGAAGAAGACGCTTGTGGTCAAAGACCTGTGGTCTCTTGATAAATCCTACTTTCAACGGCCATTTCTTACAGACGTAAACTTTTTTTTAAAACGGTACGATATTTTGCTGGCACTAGAGATGACGAAAGTTGGCACATGAAAAGCGTGCTGGTGTATCCAAGCTGAGGTTTCATCCGCAAATAGACCTTTAGGGCTCATGCAACTCCCGAGCAGGTGAGCTGGTCGGCATATTCCACCACTTTACTCTCTATCCTTAGACTGGGAGTGACTGCAGATCAGTCCTAAAGCATCATTTTACATTTGACAAGTGCCAGTCAAACGCATACTCAGGTTTTCGCTCAACGCATTCAGAAAAACTCAGATTTTGTCAGCGTCCTTACCTAGAAGGAGAACGTTATCTACGTACTCCAAGTAAATCACATATTCCTCATTGAGTTGATCAATCCCTGTGAAGTCAAAGGTACTGAAAGGTATATCTATAACAGAACAAAACAAGAACGGTGGTAGTGTTCACGCTGACGTTTACCTTTAGTTGTCGTCAATTCATATGACAATTCCCCATAAACCCTTAGACGACTGTATGACTTCTAGTAAAGAGATTTGATTAGCGTTACACGATTGCTCGGATCTTATACATGTTAGTCAAACTGTTTCGTTCATGACTGTCACAAGAAAACTTCTCTCCCCTCTTATATAATGCAATGATCAGTAAAGTAGACTAGTCTGATGGGACTACCTATGAACCCCATAAGCTATTAATACTTTCGTTACTCAACTCGGTGATTTTCTACCTCCATCCTTGGGAGAACGAAGCGTTGCTGTGGGCCAGTTAAACTGGGCTTCCAAGTATTCTGCCCAAGGTTCTAGCAATCTGTCCTGAGAGGATATCAGCACCCCATTCCTTTTGGTGATGGTCTCACCAGCTACCGTCTTCTTCCTGCTAGTATCCTCAATGAGCACGAATAGTTGTCAGGTATTACCTAATGCTGATGCTTTCCCCACTTGCCACACTCTCATCACCCACCACAGCTGGCGATCATTGCAAAGACGCTTAGTCAATTGACATATAAGTTGCTTTCGTTCCTCATTGTGGTCAAAGCCAGCTGGAACCAGTCTTCTGGCATCCATCAGTTCAGGTGAGGTTGTGGAAATCCACTGGCTGCAGAATGTCACGCCAAGGTTCCTCCGGATGAGGATTCCTGCTTAGACATCGCCATCATGAACCTAAACTTGATTTTTTGTCTTTCAGTCAAGTGAACAAACGCTTCACTGTTGTGTTGACTGTGCCCACTGAGCCGGAGAAATTTACATGTCCGCACTAGCACACGGAGCTCAAGCGAGTGCTTCAGAAAGAGAGATTGTCCTTTAAAAAGACAGCTTATAGCAATTTGACAAATCTGTATCCACTACTGGTTTGACTTCAGTGGGTGTAAAGAGAAACAATTCCACTAACTTACTCACTGATGAAGTAAGAGACTTTTTTATTTAGTGCTAGTGATGGTTAGCTTTGAATATTGCATAAATTGTTAGCAGCGGTAAATATCAGATGACTGTGGGGGGTAAAATACATATGGAAAATTATTCTTTTAGATAGAGTTAACGACGGCATCATAAATAACAGTGTGATAAAAAACGCCTCAGTGCTATTTCAAAAAATACTGAAGTAATATACGTAGATTTACGCTAATTGTACTGAAGACTCATAAACTAGGTGTGTAGCATTTCACTACGTCGTGTTCAAATATACGATTGTAAAACATGAACTCGAGGTAGAAACATCGAAATGTGTAGTCTGACAGGATAGGAAGTCCGGAATCATGTATAGGATTTTAGATAAGTAACGATAACGAGTTTATGAATCTTCGACAAGTTAAGTGGTTCAGGTGATGTGTAGACACTCAACAGCTTTCGACTATTGTCCGATGCAACTGCTGTTTCTATCTTACTCACGCATTTTGACCACCTCACGGTCCTTGGGTAAGGGTTGTGTAATCTTTCGCGTAAAAAAACCTACGCGAACGATTGTACTCGCTATGCGCCGGAATGGTCCGACGGGCGTCGAGAAGTTCCAGGGAGCTCGCAAAGACCTATTGTTCAGTAGAGAGACATTCTTCCAGCCTCAAGCGGCTTCACTCGCCATTTTTATCGTGTCTTGTAAGCGTAGCCAATGCTCGTCTAAACTTTCAGGAAGGTCCGTAGCAAGCCCTAAATCTAGCTGAGATTGGTATTTAGCTGCAACGTTAGATGCGACTAATTTGCTTGCATCAACCTGTTTAGGATAACAGTTTTGATGACCACCAAAATGCAAGATGAGCTTAGCATACGCCAAAGTATGATCAGAGTTCACACAAGTACTCCCTTTGGAGCGACAGTCCTGTATGCATCCACACCATTGGTAGCTGATTCCAGTATGATCTATTTGGGTTCAGGCTTCAATGGCAAAGGGAGGACGAAAAGTAGCCCAACAGCGATGGCTGCGCCAGAATTTGGTCCTGGCTATAAATAGGTTGTGATCTGCCCAAAGTTGTAGAAGACGATCTCCATTATCCAACATGCGGCCAAGTAGTCCCCATCGGTCACCTAAACGACTCTCCTCTGAGTCTAGACGCCCGACCTGCCCATTCAAGTCCCAGCTAGAACTACGATATCTGTCAGGAGCACTCAGTTAACATCACTCAGTTGATGATAGAATTCATTCTTGGTTGCGTCCGGGCTGCAATCCGTAAGAGCATAGACAGTCAATTACTTCTTACAACTGTTGATGGGAACCCACTTGAGTAGCGCAGCTTCGGCTTGAGCACTCATTGAGACACCGACATTAGTGACGCCGATGCCACAGGGTTCATGTAATTCTGCTGTTCACAAGTCTGGGTTACGATTCGAACGTTTACTTAAAATAAGATATTAGAGCCTATGTTACTTGGTTTGCTTTCAAGAGTTGGTGAGTCACCTCAGGATAAGAATTGGATACCATTCACGGATTGTTTAAGCATTTCATTCTGAAAAATTGACCGAACAAAATGAAGTTAGTTACTTTCCAGTGACCAATCGATGTACCTAATCCAGTCCCACAGAAGGTCACTGGCAGTCCAAATAGCTTGAATTTTGTATTTTCCAACTGAATCTGTGAAGGTTTTCCAGTAGTTGAGGTGCACACAAACCCAACTATAAACTGGTTTAATCGGTATAGTTAAGGTAATTCCATAGAAGAAGCAGTGATTCAGCAAACATCTTTGGTTCCAATTAGGTCAGCGAATTTCTACATTTGGTGATAATTAGAACTGACTGGCATTTAGAGTATCGTGTAACTTATTCCGATTAGCTCACTTGGATCATATTCTGGTAGTGTTACTTAGGTGATTTGATATCTAACTTGGTCAACGTATTTGTGTAATAAAGTTGACTGCTATGTCAATCACATGATTTTTTCTGTTTTATTAGAGGAATAAAATGATTTTCGTAAGAACTACATTTTCTCTGCGATGTGATCAGTCATTCAGTCTAAGTACATTAAACATAAATAAATATCAATGTATAATACGAACTTTTTGACACTTCAGAGTACAAATCAATAAGACAATGAAAAGAGAATGACTATCAACAGATTCAGACAAAAGCATAGATTCAGCATATGGAATTAATGTTGTAACTTCATTTATAAGAACGATGCAAGTAAGATAGTGAATCGACTAACACTAAAAAAAAAAAAATGAACAAATGTACTCGTGTGTCTTGCTAAATGAAGTCCAATAGATAAAAGGAATTGAGTCTTTTATCCATGCATCCAAGTTTAGTAATAAACATTTTCACGCTTTTAAACAATAAATTTCAACATACTACAACTAATAAACACTTAAATACGTAAATTAAAGTAAAGCTTCAGAAAATGTGATTTAAAAGTTGAAATTCAAGAGAGATTGTAAATAGTATAGAAAAGTTACCAGATAGAAAAATGTAAAATACAATTAGAAAGATGACTAAGGATGAACAAAGAGGATTCTAGAATTGTTTGATATGTGTGGATAATCGAGACTTTCTATCATTGTACACCATAATAGTTTTCGTCTTGACATGCCTAAAGAAATTGACAAGAATGTGGTCATGAAGACTAGGAGATGTTTGTTTGTGACTTATCAGCACACCGGCTTCTTTCGAATATGTCCATGTGACTAGAATACTTACTAAGAAATCTTAGAATTTTTTTCGGCTGTTTTTTGAGGGAAACCATGCTTCCAGTCTCAGAATATTAAGTCTCATGTATATTTAGAATGATCAGATATTCGAATACCTATTAAAAGAAGAGTGCACTGCGCTGCAGTCTGTTTTTTCCCGTTATATAGCCATTAAAAGTCGAAGTCATGAAGCGATTACAGATTTCTGATCATAGATGTCATCGTAGCAATGTTAGCGTTTGGTGGAATCACCACATTAGTAATGTTGAGGTCAGATGAAAAGTACTAGGCAAGACACACAAGTCGATCGGTGAGGTTGTGAACTTCATTTGACTGAGGTGGCTTGAACATGTACTGCGAATACCAAGCCACCGCCTACCCCAAAAGGTTGGATGAGGGTTCAGGGTCACTAGTACCAGATGTGGCACCAATCTATGACTATTGGTCTGAAATGTGTAGGGAGATGCACTGTCTGGTTAGAGTTCCCGAGACAATAGAAATAGGCGGCTGAGAACTCTGTGTGACATGGCTGAAAATCAGTTTAAGTGCCAGCTTGAACCGATGCATTTCTTTGTGACTTTGTCTGTTCATCTTAGAAAGATGAGTGTATAAAGAACTTGAAATTATTCGAAATGAACTGTAAAATCGAGTATACAATCAAAAGGAAATATTTTTGATATCAACTAAAATATAGTATATCAATTAGGTAAACAACGTTTGTGATGAGCTATAAGAAAGTAGTCTGATTTAGAAATTTAAAAATAAAGGCAAATAAGTACTCTAACTTACTCGTTGACGTTTTAATTTTCGTCTAGACATTTTATTCTGGCAGATAATTGTCAAACGCTCAGTTAAAAAGAAGATGTAGATGCCTAGTAGGGCTACAAGTGCTTCTAAAATCATTTTACGATGTGAACTGAGTTCTGTTGATAATTCAGAATTATGATGATGATGATGATTGTTATGACCATTATGTTCTTCATGATGAGGATGAGAATGATGGCGACTGTGAGTAGAAAAAGCCTATGAAAGTAAACGTAAAAAATATATTGAATTGGAAATCATGAAATGAATATCATAGTAGTCTACACAGTACAGTTACATCTTACTCTTAACTAAAATCCTTCTAGATGCAAGTGTACTTCGAAAATTTCGTTCCGTAATTAGTTTGTTCAAAAGCTGACTAATAATATTCATTCCGTAGAAAACCTCTTTATCAATCCAATCTGAATTGTGAGTGTAGTTATTTGCACACGTGGACAAGTAGTGCTATATTTCGTTGATTTAGGCACTTGGATATTGCTTCACCTACTGAAGTCTGAGTAGTCAGATAGTATTATCAGTCCTCATACAGTAGGTATGATTTGCTATGGGGTTAGTGAGTCCATTTCAGATTTATTATATACATAGATATCACAGAAACTCTATCCCACAAACAAACTTCCTTAGTGTAAGTCACTAAACCGTTTTAGCAGCTAATTTTAGAGATAATATCCTTTCATTTGATGTGTATAACAGTGAAATAGTATTATTTACTGGACTGTGTTTCGGACAAGGAATTTCTATTCTACCACGGTAACCAAGTTTTACCCTTCTTATAATGACCTATTCACCTTGTTGTTTCTCAGTTAATACTCAGCATTATACCACATAAGGTCAGGTAGGTTATTGTAACTTAATCAAATTGCAGTTTACAAAATCAAAATGAAAGGACTGTAAAGGCCAACCTAGTAACTGGTGAAATGACTATTACGTTTCGTTATTTTACAAAACTATGACTGACTTTAAAGGACATCCTAACAACCACTGAAACAACTAATCAGGCTTCGATTTTTCGCCTGGGAAAATACTTTCCCATAAAATAAAGGAATGCAATTAGCTGCCTCATCAGTTGCTAGGGTGGCCTTAAAAGTCATCCAAAGCTACCATCTAAGCCAAGAAACCGAAGGCTGATTGGTTGCTCCAACATTTACAACAGTGACCTTTAAAGTTCACTTTTAAAGGCTACCCTGATAACTGCTGAGATAACCAACCAGGCCTCTATATTTTATGAAAAACTACCTTTCTAGCTGGAATACTAAAACTTGATTGGTTATTACAACAGTTGCAAGAGTGGCCTTTATAATCGACTCTCAATTTATTAAGCAGATAAATAAACAATATGCCTAAAAACAATAAAAAGATTATTTTTGTTTCAAAATTTAATTTGAAGAGCATTTTTGGCAATTACTTTATGTAACATACTTACATGTGGTATTAAATGAAGAAACGCATCACCAGCAAGTGAACCAACTGCAAGTGCAATAAGAAACTGAGTCACAACATTGTAGAAACTACGAGACATCATTGGTACTAAACAAACAACAATTAAACCCGAAGCGCTAACCAACAGCACAGCACCAGATGCGGCTAAGAAAGCTTTTGAAAAAAAAAAAGGTATACAGTAGGAAATTAGTTAGATGAAGCACTGAAGTGAACATGATAAACCAACGGTTGTATATTGAAAATAATTTATTCACTTAACAAGATAACAAACAATATGTAGAAGTCCATATGTCATAATATAGAAGAACCTATTGGTTATATATAGTTAGCATATAAATACTACGAAACTGCATAATTTTAGTTACCTAGTAACAAGGATCAAGTTGAATGAAGACTTAAAATTCAAAGATGTGATGCAAACTGAAAATAAATCATAAAAACGCATAGAAACCAATATAATCATCCATAGAGGAATATAAAGTTGCATAATATATGAAAATGAATTTTAAGGCTGAGACATGACCAAGTCAAGTATGGATGATATTGTAAGTAGTAATAAGACAGAAATAGAAGTCAATGTATTTATAATTACCAATTTACTACCAAGTTGAAGGTAGCAACAAAGGCTGTACAATTTTCTTTTGAATATATAATCCCAGTTTCTCTATGCATCAGGCAAGATCTTCTGCAGTACACAAAAGACGGAAACATACCATTTTTAGTAAATTTCTTTTCACCTTGTAAATGACTTTGAACACTGAATCTGATCGATTCACTCGCATCTCTTTCCAACTAGGAGGAGGAGGAGGCTAATGTTCTCAAATCCGTTTGGAAAGAATCCACATTGAATGACTTACATACTTGCCTTCACAAGAGAAGATAAATTGATAAACATACATGGAAGTGGTCAAGTGAAGAATCTTATACTATGGGTTATCAGGAAACACTGGAAGACTGGAGAATACTATCCTCGAAGTTGATGCCAAAAAAGTTTTCTTAAGAGAAAATTTGAAATTCTTTCTTGTCAAGGTATCAGTAGCAAAGTCACCCTTGAAATCAAGATTCTTCTTTGGAATTGAAATGGGTATCTCTTTTTTATGAGTTTGGTCTTATGTTTTTGTCCATGAACCATGCTAACTATTTTCAGCCAGAATCCTTTTGAGAAACGAGTTCTTCTAAACTATCAGTGCTGCAGGTTCTTCGAATACGGTGGGCAAGAAACATAATAAATTTTCTTTTTCCGACTAATAGGTAGTCGACTAAAGAAATTCATCAGCTGACCATTCCATACAGGTTTCCTGTAGATATACCTCCACTTGCTATATCCATCCAGGAACTTGTACAGCCTTTGTTGCTACCTTCAACTTGGTAGTAAACTGGTAACCATAAATACCTTGACTTCTATTTCTAGCTTATTAATTACAATTTTGTTGTATTTTTATGACCTAACATAGTTTTCATTTTGTTTTTTTCATGCTTGCCTTGATCATCTTTTATCTCGAAAATCATTTTCGTATATATCGCAATTTTATATCTTTCTGGGTTGGTTTATTTTCATCTTGTACTACACCTTTGAATTTTCAGTCTTCATTCGAAGTGAAGACAGGAGTAAAACAAGGCTGTCTACTATCACCGATCATCTTCTTCATTGTGGTCGACTGGATCATGCAGCAAACAGTGAGGAACAAGAGGACGGGGATGCAATGGCTGGACCGGCAAAAAGATCATACAAGATTTGGATTCCACCGATCACGTGTGGCTAATGTCACACAAACTCCAAGATCTACAGGCAAAAACTAACAACGTAACAGAAGAGGTGACGCAGCGAAGACCGGACTTCAAGTGAACATACACAAGACAGAGGTGATGATGATACCTAACCAACGCCACCACCAACAACAACAAGCTACAATATCCATCAACGACAGAAACCTAAAATAAAAGTAGCCTCTCTCACCTATCTAGGCAGCACTGCTTCAACTACAGTCAGCACAGACGAGGACATCAAAACCACGATCGGAAACAAAGCAAGACAGGCGTTCATTAACCTAAAACCAGTAGGGAGATCTTCTGCACCCAGCATAAAGTGTGAACAAGATCCGGATTTTCAACAACAATGTCAGTCAAGTCACTACTTCTGTATGGATCAGAGACTTGGCGCGTCACGAAAAGCATTTCCAACAAACTACACACATACATCATCAACAACTGCCACCTACGCTCACTCCATACTGAAGATCACATGGATGACCAGAAAGAATAAGCAACAACGAACTCTGGCTAACTGACTGGTAACAAACCAAACAAGAACGTATCGCTAAACAAATATGCAGAGGAAGGAAGTGGAGATGGACTGCGCATACACTGAGAAGACCATTCAGGGACATCACACGTCAGGCCAGGCCGTCGAGTGGAACCCAGATGGGAAACGACGAGTTGGACGTCCCATCTATGGGTGACATGGAGGAGATGATGTGAGGAAGAAATGAGAGCTTGTGTGCAGTCGTGGAGCCAGGTTGAGAAGACTGCAGAGAAAAGAGTGAAATGGTGACGTGCTACTGAAGCCCTTTGTTCCACTAGGAACCCAAAGGACAAATAATAATAATAATAATTCAACTTGATTTTTGTTACTCAGTTTCATTAAATAATTCCTTTAACCATTCAATATAGTTAAATTAAATGTATAAATAGCGACTGCACAGCTATGGAGAATAAAATCTCCTGGAAAGATGTCATTACTGAACTCGTTTACTCTAGTGCTTTGATGAGTATTTTCAGTAACATAATTTACTGACTAAAATGTAATTCTTTCATCAGAAAAAATGAATTTCAAAGTGTACAAGGTTATGAAACTAATGATAGATAGTGTTTTCATCTGTAGCATATATATACGAACGACATAATGATCCGATGAGATAGGATTAACGATAGAACAATGACTTCTCAACATAATACTCAGGTGATACCAAAAGAAGACAATGGGATTGAAGGTATATTTGCTTCAATCTAATAGTCTGATTATAGCTGTAAGTTCAGTCGTTGATATACTTTTTAAGAGCCTTAATCAAAGAAAAACAAAACAGGATATTAAAAGTGTCACATGGACCAATCAGAGTTTAGTATCGTGAACCGTGGTAAAAATAAGTAATGATGCATGAAGCGAAAAAGGTGCGAAACTAGGGTTTAAATTTCACAATGAAAAAATATGTGTATATAAGAAGTTAATTTTTTAAGGATTAACTGTACCTAACAAATAGTGGCTAGTGGTAAAATCCAGAAGGCGCATTTCGTTCTGTTTGTGACTAGTCAGCTGGATGTACCCGCATCCCACTGAGACTTGAACCTAACAATTATCACTTCAAAATTGATTTATTTTGAAATAACAATTTTTATCATCTCGATGAGATAGTTGTTGTTACTCACTGACTGAAATCAATTAAATTTCAGTGGATAGCTGACGTTCAAACATGGACCATCTAATTTGTTCTGGGAAACCAATCAGTATATTTACCTCACACAATATCTTTTGGTCTGAGTTAAAGTTAGATTGATTATTATAACAAATTTAAGGTGCTTTCCAAGGACGATAGGATACTGCCAGTGATGCGACTCTTCTATACTTAGAAGAAAAGGTAAGCAAATCACTTAACAAACAAACTTGCTAAACTGAATTCCTTTGCAACTACTAAGATTTTAGAAAGTCTGTAATTAGTCACAAAGAATTTTAATTCAATATTTATAAAACGATGGTGTTTACCCAGACTCAAATAGTTATGCATAGAAATTGGTGGTTACATTCTCTGGTATGTAAAATCATCAACAATAAAGCAAAACGTCTTAAATACTATCCTAAAGAGTAATTTTTGTGGTTTTAGTAGCCAAAGCTGTAAACTACAAGAAACACTCGATTATCTCCTGATTATCAACAATACTCTCTCTTTGTCTTCTTAATTCATGTCTCCTCTTATTACCAAGTCTAAATTGTCTTCAACTTTATCTAGATATTTAGGCTGTGCTAATGACTTGAGTAAACGAAATAGCATCTCTGGTGTTTAAAATCTATACTGCAAACATATTAGAGTATTCTATTTTCATGTCATATATCAAAAGTGAAAAAGTTTGCCCTCCTAGCCCTCGAGAATCCCAGGTTATAACTACAAGCCGCCTATGAAACACAAACAAAATAGAAGTACGGTTATCACGATACCTCATACAGTCAACTTTGAGAATCTGTGACTCCACTAATAACTGGTACCTTGGAACTCAATAATCTATTTTTGAGAAGATTCAATTGTAGTGGGGAAAAATGGATTTTTAGGATAGGAAACTTATTTCTCGACTCCATTATACTTGACAGTAACTTGAGTAATATTATACTGAATAGTAACAGTACGAATTAATTCATGAGGACAGCAATACGAAATCATGTTTTTAGGACAACTGTTTACATAGACATTGACTGCGGTTTAGATGAAGTGAAATTTTACAGAAAGCCAGGCATCCAAATATGATCTTCATAGTAAGTACATTTAGTGTCTTACGTATAAACCAGCTGCATAAAACAAATCATGATTTATTTCTATTGGAAATAAAAGATTTATGAAGATTACAAATGTTTTGAAATCACTATCATAACATCTTATCTTCGGAACGATACTGAAGTCAAGTAAGGAGTAGTGGAAAAAAGAGATTTCAGCTAATACAGTCATACAACTCTAAAAATTGAAATAAATGAAATATACATTATGCATCCCATACAACCGCCTACTTCGATTTATTTTATTTATTTATTAGAACATGGTCGTTAAAAGTAGAAGACATGAAGCAGTTTCAGGGGTATGATCATTGGTGTCTTCATGACATTTCTTGTGCCTGGTGGGATCACCGTGAACTGTGCTGAGGTCAGGCGAAGGGCACCAGGTAAGATAGGCGAGTCGATTGATAAAGTTTTAAACATTACTCGACTGAGATGGAAATGTAATGCGTATGCCGAGTCACCCCCTACCTCGACGTACCACGCTAGTTAAGAAAGTTGGACTAAGTTGAAACAGGGTTCAGGGTGGCCAGACCAAAACCTGGTACCAGTCAATGAAGTCCCTGACTATTGATCTGAGTCGTGTGGGGAAATGTAGATTATCTGATTGGGGGCCCCA